ATGGCAAAAATTTTACGCTGACTCCTGTTACGCTTGAGATTAAAATTAAGGAAGTTTTAAAACCTTTTTTTCGGTGCTTTTTACGGTCTGTAGAGGTCGATGTCAGCTGGGCTTGACTGATCAATTTGGGTTGTCAAAAAAGTAGGGAAATATTTCTTACTATCAGAAATTTTGAGTTTAAACTCAATGCATTAATGCATAACACAATAAACGAATTTGGTTTCCATAAGCTCAACTTTCAAGCGATAGTTTCCATTTATCAGAATACAGAGAAACACGGACTTCATAACCCTCAGCATAAGTAAAACGATTCTGTAATTAAACTTTAAACTTCTGTAATTAAACTTTATTCCAATCGCAAAATTTTGGAAAGTTATTATTAAACATTGCGTTGAATCGCTTTGTCAAGCCCATGAAGTGTTTTGGACCACTTGCACACTTTTTGTAGAGCCTTTTTCTTTCGTGATGACCGATACCACCTACGAATCCCAGCATTTGACCGTCAGAATACTTATATGTTTTGCTTTGACCGATAACCTTTTCCTTTCCTTTCTTGAAACTTTATTGGCGTACGTGAAATGTTTTCGTCGCTTTGCTCTGTGTGTTTCTTGTCCGACGCGGAGTCTGTGCCTTCCGGCATTCTTTCAGTCGCTGTGATAGGTTTGTCGCGTCATTTCGAAAAACACGGACTTTATAGCATTTAGCATAAGTAAATAAATTCTGATTATAAATTTCGGAAGCAGCGTCTCTGTAACTAACCTTTATTCCAATCGCAAAACTTTGGAAAGTTATTATTAAACATTGCGTTGAATCACGTCGCCAAGCGCATGACGTTTGGACTACTTGCACACTTTTCGTACAGCACTTTACTTTCGTGATGACCGATTCCACCTACGAATCCCTACATTTACCCGTCAAAATACTTTTGAGTTAATTAATTTACTTTTTACTTTCACCGATAACCTTTCCATTTTCCTTTCTTGAAACTTTCAGCGTACGTGAATTATTTTCGTCGCTTTCCTCTACGGATTTTCGTGTCCGACGCGGAGTCTGTGCTTTCATTCTTTCAGTCGCTGTGATTGGTTTGTCGCGTCAGCTCATGAATTTGATGAGAAAAAGCAAGTTGATCACGGAAGTACAATAAATTTTCCTCTCATTGACAGACATTTTCTATAGTTATTTCATTAAGGCGATAGAGCAGTCTTTTATGGGTTTACCGGCACTATAAACCACTTGGGATGTTGTGGAGGAACACTCGAAAAGCTTGTAAATCATTCCCCTAACGGCTCGTGATTTACAAGCTTTTCTCATGTTCTCCCGACATCCCACGTGGTTTATTGCGCCAGTAAACCGATAGAAAGAGTAATCCATTGCTTAAATAAGATATATTCTTGTATATATATATATATAAAAAAAAAACATCGTATTTACACAGATGTCTGTAAATGCAAAGTCGTGTTTACTATCAATACATCAGTTTAATGAAATTATAAGCAGACGTGTGCCACCACACGTCTTATTCATGATTTAATCAGGTAACTGAGCACTTCAACGCCAGTCAAGAATACAAATACTTTTAGGCTGATTTTCATTTCTATAGTTTCCAATTATCTTATTTTGATGGCGCCTGCACGTATAATAAATCGTAATTATTTAAAAACCCTAAAAGGAAACCAGAGAAATCCTTCGTTAGCTTAAAAATATCATGAGAACTTGTTAATATTAAATAGATATTGCTGTTAGCATACATCTTTGCGCAGACTCTGCAGAGGATACATATCTAAACAAAGAGAAGAAACCCTGGCTCGTCGTTGATACCAGGTTTAATAGATAGATTTTTAGAAAGTGCATGTGTATTTTTATGGTTCATTTTTAGGGCGAAGTTTGTGAGACGGAGGACTTTTTTAGGTTAGAATATTAGGAAAGGAGTTCAATTGAGCGAAATGCTAGTTCCTGATCAAACACGTGGCTCTAAGATGTCAATACTGGTGTGAGTTGAACACGATATGACGGCGTACCGTGTGGCACTAAATTTTTGCGGGAGTACGTTTATTTTTGCAAGAGTACGTTTTATTTTTGCGAATCAGCGATTTGTTTTAATTTTTGCCGAAATTAATTTTTCTGATTGTAAAAGTGTGTGTTTTCTTTTTTTCTACCCAGGGTGAATAATTAAGTTTTCCAACCCAAAAAAACTACATTCTTTGCAAGATCTCAGCTTTGGGTTTAATCTTAAAATGTTGGTACAATTACACAAAATTCAGCCTCGATATTCCTTTATAAAGAGTTGATAAGAGTTGCTAAACCTATGCTCTATTGTACCGGTAAACCACGGTTCCCGATCTATGGCTGCTCTAAGCGGGAACTAGAGAACTTGCAACTCTAGTGATAACAAATGCAATAAGTAGTTTTGCTTTTTACCGGCTCAGATATCAATAACGCGAATATCTTTTCATTCAACATATACATGGAAATTTAGTAGGGAAAAAAAAGGACCAGAAGTTTTTCGTCATATAAAGTTTTCTTCTTTTTTTTTTTTTTTGTTCCACGGCAAAAATTTTACGCCAACTCCAGTTACGCTTGAGATTAAAATTATGGAGACTATAAAACCTTTTTTCGGTGCTTTCCACGGTCTTTGGAGGACGAAGGCTGGGCTTGAATGGTCAAGTTGGGTTGTCAAAAAAGTAGGGAAAATATTTCTTTTTATCAGAAATTTTGAGTTTAAACTCGATGCATTAATGCATAACACGATAAACGAATTTGGTTTCCATAAGCTCAGCTTTCGAACGATAGTTTTCATTTACCAAAATACAGAGAAACAGGGACTTCATAGCTCTCAGCATAAGTAAAAAGATTCTGAATAAATTTCTGAAGCAGGGTTTCTGTAACTAACCTTTATTCCATTCGCAAAACTTGGGAAAGTTATTATTAAACATTGCGTTGAATCGCTTTGTCAAGGCCATGAAGTTTTGGACCACTTGCACATTTTTCGTAGAGAATTTTTCTTTCGTGATGACCGATTCCACCCACAAATCCCTGCATTTCCTCTTCAGCATACTTATACGTTTTGTTTTGACCGATAACCTTTTCCTTTTCTTTCTTGAAACTTTCTTGGGGTACGTGAAATGTTTTCGTCGCTTTGCTCTGTGTGTTTCTTGTCCGACGCGGAGTCTGTACCTTCCGGCATTCTTCCAGTCGCTGTGATTGGTTTGTCGCGTTATCTCATATATTTGATGAGAAAAAGCAACTTGATCGCGAAGGCGAAAGTATAATAAATCTTCCTCTAATTGAAAGTATTTTTTATACTTATTTCATAAAAGCGATAGAGCACTCTTTCTATAGGTTTACAGGCGCAGTAAACCAGTTGGGATGTTAGGAGAACACTCGAAAAGCTTGTAAATCGCTCGTATAACGGCTCGTGATTTTGAAGCTTTTCTCGTGTTCTCCCAACATCCCGTGTTGTTAATTGCGCCAGTAAACCCATAGAAAGAGTGGTCTATTGCTTAAATAAAATATATTCTTATATAAAAAAGAGTGTATATACGTATGTGTCTGTAAATGCATAGTTGTGTTTACTATCAATGCATCAGTTTAATGAAATTATAATCAGACGTGTGCCTTCACACGTCTTGCTTATGATTTAATCAGGTAACTGAGCACTTCCACGCCGGTCATGAATACAAATTCTTTTATTCAGAATCCCTCGTGCCCGAGACCGATGTTCGTGTCTATAGTTTCTAATTATCTTGTTTTGATGGCGCCTGTATGTATAATAAATCGTAATTGTTTTTTATCCTAAAAGGAAACCATAGAAATCCGCCCTTAGCTTAAAAATATCATGAAAACTTGTTAATATTAAACAGATATTGCTGATACCATATATTGGAGACTGCAGTTGTTCCAACTATCTTTGCGAAGACTCTGCAGAAGATACATATCAAGACAAAGAGAAGAAAACCTGGTTCGTCGTTGATACAAGGTAATTCATAGTCTTTTAGAAAATGCCTGGATATCTTCATGGCTTATTTTTAGTGTCCGTGGGACGGAGGACTAGTACTAAGGTTAGATTATTAGCGAGGAAAGATATCGAGCGCAATTAGTGCTAGTTCCTGATCGAAAACGTGGCCCTCAGATGTCAATACTTGTGTGAGTTGGACAAAATATGACGACATACGGTGGTGCACTAATAAGTTTTTGCTGGAGTACGTTTATTTTTGCGAATGGGCGATTTTTTGCATTTTGCAGAAACTAATTTATACGATTGAAAAAGACTAGTTTTTCTTGCGTGGTACCACTTCTTGCGATTGTTTGAAAGTCGCGTTTAATTGAAATTAGAACATTTTCGCTTTTTTTTAAAATTTAAATGCATGCAATTTGGCAAGTGCAAAAAGCCATGTATCAGTGGATCGACCTTCTGAAAACTTTATGCGAGAGAAATAGTATGGTACGTAAAAGAAAGTTGACACAGGACGCGACCAGACAAAGGACATTCAAGTCGGGCATACCGCTCAGTGATGCGTGAGAAAACTGCACGATGGTTAATAGATTTTTACAATTATATTAATCAAATTCCACACGTTACAAAAAATGGATAGAAGAAATTGGGAATAGTAGATGCTCTTCTCAACGGAGTACCTTCGACTGATCTTTTCCTGTAAATCTCTTTGTCTAAATTCTGAAAGTTTTATTTCTCCGTTTTGGTTCTCACTATTGTCTACAATTCCGTGAACGAATAAAATTTGCCTCGAGTTGTTGCTAGCCACTCATCTGGTCTTTTTTTTTTTCCCTATCGCCATACCGTTATGTTTAGCAAGCATTTCTAGTCAGATCTTTTCTTCTTTGCATTCATAATCCCGGACAATTGTTAGAACAAAGAAAAATTCTTCAAAAATGTTTAAACCGGCAAAGCCTTTTGGAAGCCTTACAAAGAACTTTTTGTAGAGACATTTTAGACGTACTAATAGTGTAGCTTTTCTGGTTAAGAGCTCCAATTTTTTATTTATAGTTTGACTGAATTTTTACACTTAAAGATTTTTTTCCTTGTGAGTTTGGAAAAAAGGCTGTTAATGAAATTAATCTTGCATGACTGTATCTTATCTTTCTCCATTTGCTAGTCATGTATTTCAAGTGCGGAATCCTTTTGCTGATGCTCGTCGGATATTGTAAGTATCAAAACGTACGCCGGCGCACGAGCACACTCACGAACGCC